ATAACAAGTGTAATATCCACTAAAGCACAGCTTAAGTATATAACACCAACAAGCTGGTCCCCCGCAATCTCGCCTACATTTTCCCCCACAGGATATTTGATCGTCATGTGGTAGGTAGACACGACCGCTTGGAACACATTTAAACATGTCCGCCCTAAAATGATATTGTAAGACGATTCTGCTCCGACCACCACAAACCGGATCATTCTCACTTTCCTCGAATCGCCCGACCCCAATGCTACGGTCAGGCTCACTTCGCCCATTGGCATTACCTCTCCACCGTTAAATCCGTATAAAGCTGTCGCCACCGGTTTCAATTCCAGATTCAGGTGTTTGTTGATCTGCGCAAAACAATCGTAGAACATCACGTCGACTGAGCTCCCCGTGTCGATGAACACTCTTTTCACATCGAAACCTGCCACTTCGGCTGTGATGACCAGTGCGTCATTGTGGGGTAACAAGATTCCTTCCGCATCTTCTGCTCGAAAGCTAATCACAGGCATCCAACCAGTTATCCCGACCTCCTCTCTTTTACGCTTCACCGCCCGCACATGCCCCTTTCGTGCATTATTTGAATCTCCATCCGTTGGTCCTCCTGAGATCATGTAAATCGTGCCCCTCTTCACAGGCACCTCCTCCCTCAGCTCCTCTCGACCATCATTTTGTCGTCTCTTTCTTTCTCTCCTAGCATCGTCTTCTCCATCGTCGTCCCTATCACTCCTCGCCACAAAATCTTCCCTGCACCTTCTCCTTTCTTTACCCCGTGGTCGATCGCGAATGACAAATTCTTTCAGGTGCCCTGCCCGTATGAGACGCTCGATCTCGTCTTTCAAGTGCCTACAGTCTTCTGTATTATGTCCGTAATCCCTATGAAATCTGCAGTATTTATTCGACCTAGGTTTGGTCGGTCCCTCGAACCTGGTCGCTGGCCATGTGACTTCCTTGCTTTCCAACTTCTCCTCTATGGTCGCCAAGACTTCGCTCATCTGGGCGTTGATAGGAGTAAAATGATTATATCTTTGGTCGTTTGGTTGCCGAGGTCGCCCTTGCCAGCGATCTTCTTGCCTCTCTCGGAACGAATTTCGCCCATCCCTCCTGGGCGACGGCCTCTTAAAAGATCCTCCCCTTGGGGAATTTTTCCTAGGTGATCCCCTCCTAGGCGAGCTCGTCTTTCCCTTCTTCTGCTCAGGTTTCACAACGTCCTCGAGCTTGGCAAACTCTGCTTCCGTTTCTTCCAAGTTAATGTACTTCTTGCATCTTTTGAGCACCTCATCGTAAGTTCGAGCAGGCGTCTTTGCCAGCGACGTTCGACATGGTCCTGGCCGTAGACTTCTAATCAATCCTCCTGCTTTCACCTCGTCACCCGCCGTGGGCACCTCCAAACACACCTGATTATATCGAGCAACATATTTTCGTAAGGATTCTTTCTCACCTTATCTCATTGCCATCAGTGTAAGGTATGTCTTCTCCTGGGCGACCGCACTTGAGTATTGATTAGTAAGTTGTCCTGCGAAATCCTCAAAGTTTCTGATCGAACCTGGAGCTAATTGATGGAACCAGTCGAGCGCGCCTCCCCGTAAGGTCGACAGGAAGGCCCTGCAGCTGACCGGATCTGAGTATCCGTGTAAGACGGACATGTTTTCGAATGCTCTCACGTGCCTCGACGGGTCGCTCGATCCATCGAAAATTAGGTTTATCTCCCGGAAACTCGCAGGTAATGGCGTAGCTAAGATTTCCCTCGAGAATGGGTGTCCTCGAGCATGTCTTTCCGGCCTCCCTTCCACCTTCTCCTGCAACTGCCTAAGCTGTTCGGCCATCCTCTCCATCGCTCTGTCTCTGTACTCTCCTCCTCCGCCGTAACTCGACACGTCCTCCTCTTGTGTCCCCTGCACCGTTGTCGGCGCAGTAGCATCCTGGGATGTCTGGTGAGTGGCTTGTTGCACAGCCTGTGCTGCCGCATCAGCCACCATCCTCTGCACTTCTTCTCTCGTCATGGCCACTACTTGCTGAGCAGGGGGTTGGGGTGCTCCTCCTGTTGGCGGCATCATGGCCTGCGCTGTTGGCCCTACCTGCTGCGTCACGACTGGACCCGCTTGCAACGGAGTGAGGACTGCCGCTGATACCACCTCACGAGTTTCGTGCTCTCTGCTCGTGCCTGCTCCTCCACCCAAGATCGCTGTACCCTGGGGCATCGGCGTCGGGGTCACCGGTGTTTGCGAGGGTTCGGAGAATCCAGGTGGAGGTCCTGCTCCCATCGGTCTTGTCGTCGTCCACGCCTCATCAAATAAAGACTGCAAATTCACTCGAGGAACTCCGTCCGCCATAGCTGAGCCCAGAACACAACTTTTCAAACAAGAGTCCCACAGACGGCGCCAATAATACAAGTCTCGCACCCTGACCAGCTGGAATTCGCCTTAAGCTTGCTTTCCTCGCCGGTTGAACACGGAACCTGCACGAAACTCCCACACCGAAGGTGTTTTCTGGTGAAGAGCCTCCAACGCTCAAGTCAGATCTTGAGAGATAATATGAGTGTATGAAAAAGTATAAGAGTGTATGAGATCGTACTGAAAATGAGGATTCTCACCCTCATTTATAAGGGCGAGTTACCTGAGCTGCACGCGCGAGCCAGGCGAGTTCGACCAACTGTCTTCTGCTCGTCCGTACGGCCGCGCGCCTCCACTATCTTTAGTGTCAGGAGCCGCGTCCTCTTTGCCAGAGAATGTCAGAGTTCGTTGCAGCTACGTAGCCACTCACAGTGCGCCACGCGTCCTTCCTTTCACGTGCTGAAGATTCCCTCGTGCACCTCTGATATTCGACCAATCTTTTGCGACCACGCCTTATCCGACCACTCATGGTGGTCTGTATATGTCGACCACGTTTGATCTCTTCTGTCTGCTCTCTGCTCCTTTGTTGCTGGTGCTTGGTCTTTCTTGACCAGGTTACTCGATCTTTCCTAACTCGGGTAATCCAGCGGTCCGACCTATTTTCTCCGGTTGTCCTGGCGAACCGGTCTAGTATACAATATCCCATATCAATATCTATATATATATAATTGTTAGCTAATCATTTAATAAAACCTAATAAATAAAACCTATTTAATTTTACCTAATAAATACTACAATCTTCCATATACAAATGAACGTTACTTTTACAATTAAAGATTATTCTTGTACATTTATTATTATACATTGTAACGTTTCACTCTTTTAAATGCTATTTTCATCTTTTTATTTTCTTTTATGACATCTAATAAAAACTAATTAAAATTTAAAACAATCTATATATATATATATA